CGTCTGGAGCTGCAGTCGGCCCTGGACGCTGAGATCAGAGCCAAGCAGAGCATCCAGGACGAACTGAACAAGGTCAAAGCCAACAACATCTCCACAGAATGGTATGGATACTGTACAACAACAATTAAAAGGTTTTCTATGGTTTTGGAAAACAATCTCAACAATCCTCTGGATAATATTTGATACATTATATTGTCTCTGATCCATCAGTAAACTGCAGGATGTGGAAAGTAAAAACCAGGAGCTCCTGGCTGAGATCGACAGGCTGAAGAAAGAGACGGAGGAGCTGCGGCTACGAAGGGGTACGACTGAAAATATAGCAAATGAACTTTCTGTTTTCTTTTCAGTCGCTGAAATGCACAAAGAATGGCAATAGTTGTGTTGAGGGGCACAAGTGTTAACACATATTTTTCATCTCCACTGTGGCCCCTAAAGTGTTAATTGCAAATTGATACAGAGAAAAAGACATTGCCATTAATTCATTTCACAACAGTGTGGTCAACAAGAAGTTTGCATTCTTTTGAAATAAATAATATGATAAGGTTTTTAAGTGTACATTATTGCACCGTCAGCACGCAATGTATAGAGAGATAGACACTACACACTAAAACTTTTAGTGAGAGATTATCACTATGAACGAGGGATAAATACAACTAGGGACCCAAATTAGAAAGTTTTGCGTCACTAGCCATATTGCAAATAAAATCATGTGCTATGTACATAGAAATGTATTGTTGCTGAGGCCATATGAACCCCCCCCCCACACACACACACAGTCCTGTGACTCATTTTGTTTAAGTCACCCTTTGATGTTTTAATATGATGTACTTAACCACGGTTGTGATATTTGTTCTGTGTCTGTAGGTGTCAAGCACCAGGATTCCCAGAATTCCTTCTTGGCTTTTCTCAACGCCCCCACCTCAGCACTCGACCAGTTTGATGTAAGTATTACAGAAACACACCCTTGCAGGGGCTGATTTTAAATATAGCTGATCTGAGCAACCACATGTCTGGAACTAAAGTGTTGAAATCTATAAACACGACGACACTTGGAAATCATAAATCTGCAGTATATTAATTTATATCTGTGCTTCTTCTTCATGCTTTTGTTTGTTTTTTGTTCACATTATTGTTCACGTTATTTTTGTTTATTTTATCTTTTTGGTTGTTTCCTTGCTTCATTCTCTGCTACATCAGGACTCTTATTCCTCATCCTCATCTTCTTTAATTGAGTTTTGGGAAGACGTAAGTTTGGTTAGGCGGAGGTCTGTGTGTGTGTATGTAACAGTAGCTCTACATGCGGTAGGACTGAGCGTTTTACTAGCTGAGAACGACAGTGTAGATCTGTGAATACATATTGAGTCCGTGAGTTTGTGCCTGTGCATCAGTGTAACTGTGAAGAAGAGCGGAACCACTGCAAAAATGTCAGTCCTGTCATTTTAACAAGGTCTAAGGTTTATTTTTCTTCTAAGATTTATATTTTTGCAGTGTGTTGCCCTTTCATTCAGTTGCTCGCTAGTCCTTGTAGACTAGTGAGCTATTTGAATGGCTCTAACTTGGCTTTCTAGTGCTAGAACTTAAAGTACTACATTTTTTAAATCTTTCATATACCCCTTCATCTTTTGTTTATTAGGTTTTATTTGCCAGAATGAGAACTTGAGTTGTCACTGTACTCCATACTGACTTTCCCAGCTGCTCCTTTCCCATCACCATGTGAACTTTTTCCATTTGTACCCTTCCACCGTCTTCAACCTCTGTCCTCAAATCAACCCTGGTTGACATACAGTAGTTGAATGCAGTGATTCCCAACCAGGGGTAAACTGTTGATAGAGTTAGCTAAAAGTAATAGATAAACAGTTGGTAGCTTAACATAAAGGATAAACAGATTAAATAGAATAGAATAAATGGCTGTATGTTGCTTGTATTAAAAACACCACTTTATATATAACTAATGGTGTTAAATAACATCCAGTTTATAAAAGAACATGATTGGTGCTGATGAAGAGATACTGCAGCTCATCTGATGTTTGATGTACTCCACATCAAAAAAAAAAAAAATGGTTGGGAAACACTGGTCTAATGTAAATCAGGCTTATATTACCATTTTCATGTTTCCCCTTCAGTCTGTTTGAATAAGTGTTTTCAGCTCTGTTAGACAGCCTCACTCATCTCTGTGTCTCTGCCACTCTCTGCCTCTCCTGCCACTGAAGCGCTCGCCATCCGTTGGCCCAGCTAGCAAAGGCAGACGTGTAAGCACCATCACTGCGCTCTGTGATCTCATTGAGTCTTTCTTAATGTGCTGTGTTGTCCTCGTCACATTGATGTTTAATTTGTGTGTGCATTTCCTGTGTATGTTTACTGTGGCTGTCTGATTGCATGGCAGGGGTTCTGAATTATTTATTTATTTTTTTTCATAATTGTGTTGCCAAAAGCATTAATGTGTTAAATATTTCACCTTTTAATTACATGGTGTTGCAATGTGTGTTCCCTGTATGTATTGGTGTTTTATCAGTGTAGCTTTGTGAATGGCCGTGCATGGTGTATGGTGTATGCTTGTGGTGTCTCAAATTAGCATGGTCATTGGGCTGTGATGTGTTCCCATGTGTTATACTGTAGTACGTGGGTTGCATTAAAGTTGTGGTCAGCTTTCCTCTGTAGCTTTGAACGTTCAGTGGATGTGATCACAATATCTGTTGATTCCTTTTTCCATTTGTGTATTATGGCACCTGTATTTCTCTCTAAGCATGGGCGCTGCATATTGTTCTCTGGTTTATGTTTAACTAACACTCCTTTCCCTTTGTCTCCTTCCTTTCTCCTCCCTTTCTCCTCATCTTCCTCTGTCTATCTGCCTCATTACCCCCTTGTTGCTCTCCATTTCTCTTCCTTCTTTTTTCTCCCCATCCTCATCCACTTCTCTTATAATTCCATTCCCCAATTTTGTCCTTCTATTCTCACTTATCCTTTTGTACTTCTCCTTGTGTCCTCTCCCTTTCCTCCATCTTGCCTCCTTCTCCTCAGGTGGACTCTATGGATAACTTCACCCCCTCCAACACTCCATCCCGGGAAGATGACCCCAAGTCCCACCTCAAGTCCCGCTCACGCTCACCCTCCATGGCTAGTGACATGGAGCCCATAGAGGTCAGACAATCCCTTAGACTGTGCAAGAAATGCACGTTTTCTTTTTATAGAGGCCAATATCCCACTACCAAGATTCTCTGAGTAAAAGAGGACTGTTGCCTACCTGGTTAAGTTGATAACCGTTGTAGCCCTGGTGAAATACAATAGTAGTAGAATGTTATTAGTGGTCGGATCTGATTTCCCACCCTGTTGTCACCAGTTAAAAAGCCTGATCAGCAGCCTATCTCCAAACATGATATCTGTATGTTTGGCATGTCGAGGAACAAGAAAAGTGTCCAAATATTCCCCATACCAGTTCAATTGAAATTTTCAGTGAAGGTTCAGCTGAAAATGTTACTCAGAGCAACTCACAACACTGAGCTTATCAAATAGATCAGCCTTTGTGAATTGCAAGTAACTCGATTATAGAGAATTGCGAGCAGTACAACAATAAGGACACCATTATTAAGGCCAGCGGTAGATTCCAATCTAAATTAACTTTGGTGTGTTGTCACAATATGATAATGCAAGTAAATACCAACGTCCTCGTAAGCTTGTTGGGAGCAGATATGACTCAAAATAAAAAGTAAAAATGGAGTCATCTTTAAACTAGTAAAACTTTATGGATGGATTTATGGAACAAAAAATATACAACTGCAGGTAATCCCTTTGCTCATTTCCTACTAATAGGAACCTATGTGAAACTGTAGACAAAGTTTCACCGCCAAATCTATTTACCCAATATGAAATACTTCACCTCCATCCTTCCCTCTCAATTTCCTCACAGAATGTCTCATCCTAGCCTGTTCTTCTCGGGAAGTTTAATCCGGTTGCTATTAACAAAGTTCTATATCCCTCGTACACTGGAGAAAATCCAGTGATGTATCTCACCGCTCGATGTTTGTATGTGTTTTGTCATGCAGTTGATAGACCATCCTCCCCGTACAGTCCAGACCCCCACCATGCGATCAGGGGGGTACGGCAGCATTGGACGCTCCTCGCCTAAGGTTAGACGCTTTAACCACTGGAACAACATTGTTGACAAACTTGACACAGTTTAACTTCATATTATAACCACTGATGATGTCCCTCTTTCTCATTTATTCATTCTCCACAGCCCAAAGCACATCAGTTTGTGGTGAAGTCATTCAACACGCCCACTAAGTGTAACCAGTGCACTTCCCTCATGGTGGGGCTCATACGTCAAGGTTGTACCTGTGAAGGTAAGGACAGGAACAGCAGAGGGAGGAAAATACGGTAGATAGGATCCGTGTTCTCACGTAGACACCATTAAATTGCACTGAAAGCCTGAATACTTCTATATGTATATATGTTCAAGTTTATCATCCATGGAACTTACAGATGAAAGCTACAAAGCTTGTTTTGAATGTGATACTAACCCTAATTTGTCTCCATTTTGTCTTCGTCTGTCTCTTCCTCCAGTGTGTAACTTCTCCTGCCACGTAACATGTGCGGACAAGGCTCCAGCTGTGTGTCCTGTGCCCCAGGACCAGACCAAGGGCCCGCTGGGTATCGACCCTCAGAGGGGTATTGGTACTGCGTATGAAGGGCACGTTAGGGTAAGTAAGAGCTGATGAAGGCCTCGGTTGTCTGTGGCCCCATATAGTGACCTAGTGAATTGGTAGTCAGTTGAAAACAATGAAAATGTTTGGGAACCTTGAGACAATCCCTGCTTAACTTCATCTAAACCCAAATCGATTTTGGGTTTCATTATTTTTTTGTGAATTACCACAGAGGTCAACATGAAATAGCAATGAAAGGTATTTTAACTCTGAGCTATGGTAAAGGTCCATGTATAGTATCACTAAACCTTGTCTTTGTGTTTGTTCTAGGTGCCCAAACCAACAGGGGTGAAGAAGGGCTGGCAGAGGGCGATGGCTGTGGTGTGTGACTTCAAACTGTTCCTATACGAGCTGGGAGAAGGGAAAGCAACGCAACCAAGTGTAATAGTCAGCCAGGTCATAGATATGAGGTGAGAGAAGCTCTTCTTAGTGACAACTAAGAAGAGTTTTTTTTTTTTTTTACAAAAGGCTTCATAGTTCAATGAATAATATTTAAAAATTTCTATCTAAAATAGTTCATTGATTATGTCCTAATCTAACAAATCAATCACACATCATGGGTATTCTGTGTTCAGATGGTGCAAAAAAAAAATTGGTTTATTCTATGAAATGTAAAACAAAATAGTAAAAAAAAATGGTAGTCAACAGTCAAAACCTTAAGATATTGAATGTATTGTTGGATATGGCAAAGAAAAATCGCAAATCATCACATCTGAGAAGCTGAAAATTGAGAATGTTGGCATTTTTACAAGAAATGATTGATTATTGAAAGGTCTGTCAATCCACTAATGTAACAATAGACTGGTCGCTGCAGCTCTAGGTCTAACTTTTCATCTCCATCCTGTCACCCAGGGATGAAGAGTTTTCAGTCAGTTCTGTCCTGGCCTCCGATGTTATCCACGCCAGCCGCAAAGACATCCCCTGTATATTCAGAGTAAGTCCTCTTCATTGTCTGCAAGCAGAAGTTTTAAAACAATCCAAGCGCTGCTGAACTCCCAAATACTATTCAACACCTCATATAACCTTTCACCTGTCCCTCTTCTCTTCTCAGGTGACGGCGTCACAGCTCTCCCCCTCCAGCAGCCACAAACCCTCCATCCTGATCCTGGCCGACAGCGATCAAGAGAGGAACAAGTGGGTGGGCCTCCTCAACGAGCTCCACCGCATCCTCAAGAAGAACAAGCTCAAGGAACGCTTCGTCTACGTTCCTAAGGAGGCTTATGACAGCACCCTGCCGCTCATCAAGACGACACAGTCTGCTGCTATCATAGGTGAGCCTTCAACAGAAACTCTCTGAGCCCGGCGGTTTGGTTTTCACCATGTTATGAAAATAGAAACTAGATTGGAACATTTTCTGCACAGAATGCTCTTTTCTTACTGACACTGAAATGGCCGTCTCGCTTCTCTGCTTCCCCCTCAGATCACGAGCGTGTCGCCCTGGGCAACGAGGAAGGCCTGTTTGTCATTCATGTCACCAAAGACGGTAAGATCCGCTCTTTAAGATACGTTCTGAGTCATTGTTCACTTGTTCTGTTTCCACCTGATGCAGTTTTAAATGTTATTAGCATTAATAGAGTAGGTGTATTGACTACCTGTTTTTATGTCACTGCCCTTTTAAATCCCCACTTCTTTATTCACTCCTTTCCTCTCCCTCTGTCCTCAGAAATAATCCGGGTGGGGGACAACAAGAAGGTGCACCACATTGACCTGATCCCCCAGGAGCAGCTGCTGGCGGTCATCTCTGGCAGGAACCGCCACGTCCGTCTATTCCCCACGCAGGCCCTGGACGGCCGTGAGACCGAGTCCTACAAGCTGGCTGAGACAAAGGGCTGCCAGACCATCGTCTCCGGCCCCGTCCGCAACGGCTCGCTCACATGCCTCTGCGTGGCCATGAAGAGACAGATCATATGCTACGAGGTGAGAAAGCACATGCAGATACTGTTAATTGATACAAAATAATAGATATGATCTCCAAATTATTGTTTAATCTAAAAAAAAAAAAAACACTAAAAAACAGTCTCCAAAATGTCCTCTTGCCCTCCAGGTGAATAAGAGTAAAACACGCCACCGTCGGCTGCGAGAGCTGCAGGCACCGGGACCCGTTCAGTGGATGGGTCTGCTTAGCGAGCGTCTCTATGTAGGATATCAGTCTGGCTTCACTCGCTACAGGTACTCCAGATGTTTATTAACTGATCTAAATAAAGCAGAGATGTTGCTCTAATGGTCCATTTGTTATTACTGTATGTTAAGATTGTTGTCATTTTGTTTATTCATAATTCATAACTCACTGCTGAAATCTGAAACAATTCCTTATGAAATGATCTTAATGTGATCAATCTGTTTCTCCGATGCCTCCACAGCGTTCATGGTGACATGTCCCCTGTCAACCTGCTCCACCAAGAGGACCACACCCTGGCTTTCATCCCACAGCAGAACCTGGAGGCCCTCTGTGCCGTGGAGATCTCCAGCAAGGAGCTGCTGCTGTGCTTCAGCGCCATAGGAGTGTATGTGGACTCCCAGGGCCGCAGGTCACGTCAGCAGGAGCTGATGTGGCCAGCTGTTCCCAACGCTGCCTGTGAGTGCAGGAATGAATGTGACTGTCAGACAGAATGAAAGTTATGGTGTTGCTTCTTTTTAAAAAAAAAAGAGGAATTGCAACAGTGGCATATATTGTATTGTGTTTATACTGTAATATACATCAGTAAACATGCTTATATCATGATAAAACAATAACCACAGAAACTGAAGCCTAGTTAAAAGCACTGACAGAAAAAAGGGACTAAACTGTACAATGATTCCTTTCGTCCAGGCTACAACGCCCCCTACCTGTCAGTGTACAGTGAGAATGCTGTCGATGTGTTTGATGTCAACACCATGGAGTGGATTCAGACCATCCCTCTAAAGAAGGTCAGTGCCGTCACATGACTCTCCCTCACTCTGGCTCCACCTGGTGGATTAGATGAATAAATCCTATTCATTAATCACCATAGTAACCTGACTTCTTTTTCTGATAAAATCAGATTTTGTTTAATACATTTCTATGATGATCAGAGATCAGTTGTTAAAAAAGTGAATTAATGACACATTTCTCTGCTTCCCCTTCAGGTGCGGCCTCTGAATGTTGACGGCTCTCTGAACCTGCTGGGACTGGAAACAGTCCGGCTTATTTACTTTAGAAACAAGATGGCCGGTAAGAATTGTGTGTTGTGTGGAGCATCACACGGCTAAAAACTGCATACATTCCACAGATGACACAAAGTCCAAGATTTATTCCACTGTGGTTTAGAGAGTATTGGGTTTATATCTGGCTGTTGCCTCAGCGGCTATATATGCTGCTGGAGAGAACTCTGTCTTCTGTTCTTTATGTGTTTTGTAGAACAAAAGCTACTTGAGTAACAGTAGAAAGTTTGACATGCCTCTCTCAGCTACCAAAGTCAGTTTGCAACACTTTGTAGTCTTTCATGTAAACAGGCCTGTGGCTTTGTTGTGATCTTCCAGAGGGTGATGAGCTGGTCGTCCCGGAGACGTCAGACAACAGCAGGAAGCAGATGGTGCGCAGCATGAACAACAAGAGACGCTTCTCCTTCAGGGTGCCTGAGGAAGAGCGACTTCAGCAGAGGAGGTAGTTCTCTTCAGCGCACATAGAGACTTATACTCGCTGTGTATCACCAGAGGAGGTTCCAGCAAAGTTCTCACTTGTTCCTCTTTTTTTTTATCTTCACTTTTATGTGGAAGTTGATACATTTTTTATTCTATTGTCCCCCATGACTAATTATTTTAAGACGGTAAAAAAGCTAATAAAATGTGCAGGCTCATCATGTAAAATGTTGGGAGTAGAAACAAATAATTTTCAACAATGTAGTCAACTCTGAAAACATATAATGTCCTTCTACAACTGCCTTCTCATTGAAGAACACGCAGGGGAACCAAAACCAATGTTTGACAGTAGTCGAGGGTAAAGCTACATTTTAGTTTCACTGCTGCACTCTGTCTGTTCCGGTGTCTTTGTCACTCTGAACCTTTCCGTGCCTCTGATCGTCTCTTGTACGTGCTCATGATTCCAGAGAGATGCTGCGAGATCCAGAGATGAGGAACAAGCTGATCTCCAACCCCACCAACTTCAACCACGTGGCCCACATGGGACCAGGAGATGGGATCCAGATCCTTAAAGACCTGCCCATGGTACATAAATATGTCAATTTATATATATTGTGCATATATCCTGACACAGACAAGCACATACTGTAAGAAACACACAAGCACACGGGAAATAAGCCTCTGTCTACACACAAACATTTACAGAGTGGACACATAGGACTGTTTAAGATGTGTGTGTGTGTGTGTTTGTAGACCTGCTTCTACACAACCAGCATCCCCCCTTGTCTTTTATCCTTTAATGTCTCCTGTAGCATGCCTACACTGAGATTTGAGCAGAGAATGTTTCCATTTTATTTCCTCCATTATAAACTATTCTGAAAGGCTCAGTTGAGTCACATAAGTTCACTCCTCTTGAGCCTGTTGTGGTTTTGGAGACCATGCATCTGCCCAAACCTCATCAATCCACCATGTCATCACTCATATACATTTGTGTTCAGTTGTACGAGCATGTAGCGTTTTTTAAAACTGCACCCTCCTCACTCCTGTCCCCCTGCACTGCACTCTGTCTCGTGCGTGTGTGTGTGTGTTTGCTCTGTTGCGTGTTTAAACCAGAACGTCCGTGTTCAGGAGAGCCGTGCAGGCTTCAGCGGTTCAGTCAGCATCCCTTCCATCACCAAGAACCGGGCGGAGCCGGGTCGGTCTATGAGCGCCAGCAGCGGACTGGGCATACGTGAGTAACAGCAGCACATTAGTCCTCTTTAGTGAACTCTCTTCCTGCTGCCCTTATCAGGTAGCTTCATGCTTCCTCCTCTCGTCCTCTCTCTCCCCAGGCTCGTCCTCCCAGAACGGCAGCGCTCTGCGCAGAGAGCTGTCTGGAGGAAGCTACGGGTCCAAGCGGCAGACCATGACCTCTCCGTCTGAGAGCTCCCTGTCCTCTGGTGGAGGCATGGACTGTGGGGATGCTCCTCTCTCGCAGTTTGACAGAGAGGTTAGTAAACACCCTGAAACTGAACTTACAGCTTCATGTGCGCTTGACTCTTAACATTTTAATGTGAGTGACTGTAAGTAAGAGAGTTTGGTATGGTTGCCTTAACGATTAATCTAAATTGCATACTTCAGTTTCTAGCTGTTGGTTCAAGTCAGGGCGTCTGATTGGATGTTGTTGTGTAGCCACTTTATAGATCTGAATGTGGAGTTAATGTCAACCCAAACATCAGCATTGTATGAACTCCAAATGATGATTGTTTGCTTTCCATGCAATTGTAGAATCTAGACATGAAGTTATTAAATATTTTAAAAACCGATCACATTGTTCCCCATTGAAAGAACTCCTCCCTCTATCCCATCTGTCACAAACATCCCGGCCTCTGGGTGCAGGCCTCTCACCTCATCCCACCTCTCCGACCGATTAATTAGCTCCCTCTGATGCTCCCTGTGAGTCGGCTCGCTGCGGCCTCTGGCCTTCTCCTCTCGCCCAGTATAGGGTGTTAACTCTTTCCCACGATACCTGCTTTAGGTTTAGCTCGGGCTAGTTGTTGCCTCAAATTACCACAGTAAACTATTTACTTATTATGTCCCTTAACTGTTTGAACACATCTGTAAGACCTAACTAGAGTCAGGCAGTGGTGATGTTTTATTACAGTGATCACGTGTCGGTTCGTGTTAATCAAACATAGCTGCCCTGCAAAATGATTAAGTTATATATTTTAAACAGCGGTGGTTGTTGACACAAATAAACTGTATAGGATCAAATAGTAACTGCAGTAGCTTTTCCGGTTTTGGCAACTTCTACCCTCATCATTCCCCCCCCCCTTCCTGTGCTCCCCCATCCTCATGGCCCATAAGCCTGGACGCGTCCAGCTCCATTTTGCCCCCATTCCTCGCTACCTTCACCCTCACCCAGCTATTATGCCCGCCTCGCCCTGACCTCCCCCCCAGCCCCGAGCATGTTGTCTGTGGGCTGGGCGCTGAGTCT